AACTATTACCGTGAAAATAAATATGTGTAACCTACATATCTTTAAAGCCTATATTGAGAGTCATAATATTTATATTTTAATTCAGTTCTAATACGCTTTTGTTTTGATCACAATAAAGGAATCAAATATTCAGTATCTATGACAGTATATTTTATTCAGGTTTTAGAGTTTGCAATTTAGAACCTAGACCTTGGAATGAATATGTATTCTGAAAAATTTATGAGTCTGTTTAAAAAATATATACTTACATATGTAAAATATATTTTTATGCTTATGAATTATAAAAACTTCCTTAAATTACTTTAATAAAAATGCATCACCACAAAATGACTTTCTCATGATACCTATGTAAATATGATGTCTTCTCATTTTTGAGTAAGTAAACAATCTTAGATAACAACTTCTACATCTGTATTGCATTCTACATCTGCCATATCGTAAAATGTGGGGTGGATAGAACCAGATTTTCTGGGCTGAAATCCTGGTGATTCCAGTTATCAGCTATGTGAACCTGGGAAAATTACTTCACTTTTTGCCCTCTCAGATTTCCTTTCTTTAATAGATGGGTGGTCATAATGTGAATTTAAAAGGGCTAGTATGAAAATAAGTGCATTAATTATATATTTTAAAATATGACAGGGTCTTCCTGGTGGTGCAATGGATTAAAACACTGCACTGCAATGCTAGCCACAGCCACTTCAGCGTGAGTTCTATCCGTGCCTGAGAGCTGACCCACGTGGCTCAGCAGACCTCTCCTGTCTTGCCCACTGCTCCCCTCAGCAGTATACCTCCTCTGTCTGCCTATTCTGCTCCCCACTCTGTCTCTGGCGAATCCTCTCACTGCCCCTGCACCTCTGACCTGTACGCCAGTACTATAAGCATAAATAAACAAATCTTTTTTTAAATAGATAAAATTGAAAAATATGACAACACTCTGGAACATATAAATATTCAAGTAAGTACTAGTTATTACCACTAAAATCAATTTAGGACATCCTTACACTGTAAAACTATTAATTTTATCAGTTTGTAGAGGAATCATACTAGCAGTTGCTAAACATTTTCCCACTTCAGCCACATACTTTATAATTATGTGTATTGTGTATATATTATCTCTATACTTGAATAATACAATAAAAATTAAAATCAGTCAATGGCAGTATTGTCTTTCAAAATTGTAAACACGTGGCTTTTTGAAAATATTCACTTGACTAACAATGTCAATTCCTTTCATGTTTTCTGCTCTCCCTTTTAGTTTTCTATAACTCATTTATCTTTACATGCCTAACAAAAATATGAATCTAGTATGGCTGATTCTACTGCATCAGTCTAACTCATCTTAGGAAATATTTCAACATCTTCCTATGTTTTTACTGAAACCAAAAAACTAATAGTTGCCTTAATTATTCCCTTGCTCTCACTTGAAAATGTGAAGTTTGATTGTCCTGCTCTTTATTATTTTTTATTATTATGGGGGAACATTTGTTAACATTATATATTTCAGTAGTCCAGGTTTACACCTCTTCAAACGTGTGCCACACGCGTTCACCACTGAAGTCAACAGACCTCCACCACTGTCTGCCTGAGACCCTCCACCCTTTGCTTCTATCACCTACTCCTCTCTGGTAACCTCACTTCATAGTAATAATACAAGGGCTTATTTTGCTTTGGTTTCATTTGCTTTAGTCTTTTCCTCTCTTTATATTTCACAAGCATGAAAGCTCTAGTATTTTTCTTTCTCCTTTTGATGTATTTTGCTTAGCAAAACTTGTTTTTATCCAGATTGTCACAAATGCAAGACTTATAGTATTCCAGAGTGTATGTATGACATATATTCTTTATCCATTGACCAGTACATAGGTTTTTTTCATAACTTGATTATTGAAAATAGTGCTTCAATGAATACATTGATTCATCTTATAGCAAGAGTTCTATACACTTTGACCAAGTTATCCCCATTTCCCTTGTCCCCCCCCCCCAGTCTTTAGAAACCACTTTTCCATTCTTTGTTTCTATGCGATTGGCTTTTATTTTAATGTTTTTAGACAATTATAATAGTTAATTAAAAATACTATATAGTTACAAATACAAAACATACTATTCCAATTCACAAGTCAAGGAAATAACATAAATTACAAATATATCAAAATAAATGATACCAAAGTATTGCATACCATGACTTAAGCAATGCAGTTAAACAGGGGTTAGTTGTTGCTTTAAGATACTAAGAAGAAATTCTTCCTCAAGAAACAGCAAACAGGTTTACACCCACTGAAACAGATAATATTGAAAATAACCAAAAAAGTTTGGAAAAATAATTTCAAATTCTATTTGCAGGAACTGAGCATTTTCAAGTTCAAGATCTAGACAAGCATATATATGAATCCGGCACGTGGACCCCTTTTCCTCCAAAGAGGTGAGACAATTCCAGTTAAACAGCCCCTTAGGATTTAATGATGGATGCAGAGAACAAGAAGCTATATCGATCTATACATAGATAAATATTGATTTGAGGTCCCAAAGGCAAAGGATGTTGAACACTTTCACCCACGTCTGGACTTTAGATTTGAAATAGTTCCCTGGAAGTGTGAAGGAAGGCTGAAAATAAGCCAATGCTCATAGTGACTAACCCTACTGTCAAACTATGTCAATTTCTTAATGGTTGACAAAGAATTTCTTTTTGCTCCTCTAATCGGATTGATTCCATTGCCCTGTCCCTGACTTCACTGTTTTCCTGCTTCCTCTAGACAGTCATTTAAATAATTTAGAGACAGTGAGGTCAGTGCGGAGCCGGGGGAGGCACTCCTCCAGCCAGGCACCATCTGCTTCATGTCATTTTGTAACATATAGCAATATCTCATTGCAGATCTGAATTATATTTTCCTAATAATTAGTGATGATGAACATCACATGCCTCTTTGCTATCTGCAATCTGCATGTTTGGAGGAGAAGTTCTTTTTCAAGAGTTCTGCATGTTTTGTAATTATTTTGTTATTTTTGTTGTTACTGAGTATTGTGATATTTTTTATATATTTCATCAAACATTTAATTTGCAAAATCCTTTTTCCATTCAGTAGGTGCCATTTCAATTTAAAGATAAGTCCTTTTTTTTTGCCATGCAGAAACTTTTCAGTTTACTGTAATCACATTTTTCTGTTTGTGTTTAATTTTGTTGTTGTTGTTGTTTTTAAGATTTGTTTATTTATGCTGACAGATCTGGAGTATAGGCCATAGATGCATGTGGAGGATTAACCAGAGACAGAGTGAGGAACAGAACAGGCAGATCTACTGAAATACACTGCTGAGGGGAGCAGTAGGTGAGACAGGAGAGATCTGCCACGCCATGTGGGTCAGCTCCCTGACCAATGATTGAACTCGTGCTGCAGTGGCTTCTGGGAGCTTCATAATGCAGTGCTTTAACCTGTTGTGCCACCAGGGAGAGCCCTGTGCTTTAGTTTTAATTGATGTTGGAGTTGAACTTCCAAGAAATCTCTCTCTTAGGTCAACGTCTAGGAACTTACTGCCTGCTTATTTCTCTTTATATTTGTGGTATCAAATCTTATGTTTAATTCTTTAATTCATTTTGAATTCATTTCATGCAAGATGTAACATGATCATCCTGCCACATTACAACCAATGTGTTCACTGAAGGCCATGTAGGGGATACCTGTGCCCAATTATTCTATGTTATTCTGTATGTTCTCAGAAAAACTACCTATCAGCACACAGTGAGAATAGCTTTAATCTATTTGACCAATTATATGTTTCTGTGGTCAGTGTTGCTAGCTAACTATGAAACATGTTACAGCTAAGAGAATTGTGATCTGAATTCAAAATCTAGTACTTTTTGGATTCTCCAACAGCATCGACCTCCCGAATTCCTTTGTTCTGCATGGAGGATAGGCTAGCAAGCCTATTCTTTCTCTGCTGGCTGTTCCTGTATCAGAGCATATTAAGCCTGGACTAAAGTGGTGAGAGTTACATAGGTCGCCTTATCTATTGGTATAGGATCAGACACACACCTCAGCTCAACTATTGTTATTTTATACTATTATTATTAATATGTCATAATAACAGCAGAAATTCTTTTCAGCCTCTAGCTTTACCCAACATGCCCTGGGTGAGCAGGGCATGTTGCATGTTGCCAGGCATGTTGCATTGCCTAAGAAAAACCAGCTGCACCTGGAACTGGGAAGTAACCTGTCCTCAGAAGAGTAGTCACCAGTCCATGGGGGCCCTCCTCTAAGTTTCTTGGAACCACAAAAGGTGGTTCCTTTTCAAAGGAGTTCTGCAATGCCTCTTTTCCAGACATCTCCAGTATGATAATACCTTGCTTACCCCCCTCAAATTCTAGGGGTAGTGGCTGCTGCTGGCAATTACCTCTGACTGCAACTTGTTGTCTTTTCCACTTTTCAACACCTGTGTAACCACATTACACCCTCTATGTTTTTATGACTAATCTGATTTTGATTTCTTGCCTAGACTGTCTACTTACTGATAGTGTTACATTTCACCATTAAGTCACACTGGATGTGTGGAATGAGTGAGAAGTGACGTTTGTTTTAAAAATGCTGAAGTTTGGGGGTCTTTTTTTCATTAATAGTATTCACTGCTGACTGAACATTTCTGACTGATTGCTCAGGTTTCCTAGAGGCACAGAACTATATGAACAGTAAACTAAACACTACATAGTGTGTGGCTAATTTGACAGGACCTCAAGTGCACCTGTCCGCCCTGGCTGATGTTGTGCATGGGTGAGCACACTCCCCAGTAAGGCCAACAGTCAAGCCAGCAGAGCACAGTGCACTCTGTCCTGCAAACAGCTGCAGCCCACTACCTTGTTTTTAGCAGAAACTGCAAGAAGCCAGCAGGCCCTGTACAAACATGCACCGCATACAGATGCTACAAATTCCTAGGAGAAAAACAGAAACCACAGAGCCCGTTTATTAGAGTAAAGGATTTAAACTTCTTAATGGAAATCAGATGTAAGTTTCATAGTGTCAATGATGCTGCCGCCAGTCTTTTAACAACGTTCTCCCAAAGAGTTTCTTCAGTGCCAACATCACCTCTTTATTTCTAAGAGAATATATCAGTGGATTCAGCACTGGGGTGACCGCACTGTATATGATGGCCACCATCCGGTCCTGAGACATGGAAGTTGCTGAGGCAGGACGAATGTATGTAAAACCTACAGGTCCATAGAAAAGAAATACCACCATGAAGTGGGAGGCACACGTGGACAGAGCCTTGCGAAGTGCTCTGCAGGACCGATTCTTGATCAGAAGAAAGCTAATAATGTAGAAGTAGGAAAGGAGAGTCAGGAAGAAAGCTCCCATGGATATGCTGCCCGTGACAACAGCAAGAAGCCACTGATTGAGGACTGTGTTGCCACAGGCCAGTTCCAGCAGGGGCTTGACATCACAGAAGAAGTGATTGAGTTTTCGAGAGTGGCAAAAGTTCAGGTGTGCAGTCATGACAGAATGCATCAGTGCATAAAAGAAACTGATGATCCAAGCCACAGCTGCCATCAGAATACACACCTGGCGGTTCATGATGACAGTGTAACGAAGGGGGTTGCAGATGGCCACAAACCGATCAAAGGCCATGACAGCCAGTAAGATGGCTTCTGTGCTTCCCAAAAAGTGGAAGAAGTGGAGCTGCATGATACAGCCCAGGAATGATATGGTCCTGTGAGTGACAAGTAGGTTTATAAGTACTTTGGGCAACGTCACTGAAGAATAGCAAATATCCAGGCAAGAAAGATTTCCCAGGAAGAAATACATAGGGGAGTGGAGTTTAGGTTCCCGAATAACAATCACTAAAATAGCTCCATTTCCAAACAAGTTGATGAAGTAAATGACTAAGAAAATCACAAAGAAGAATGGTTCCAGCTCCTGAATACTCGTTAGGCCTAGTAAAAGAAACTCACTCACTGTAGTGATGTTTTCCATTGCTTTGGGGAGCAAAGATAACAATAAAAACAAGTTAATGTTTTTGAACTTTTAACACTATGATAATTAAATGAAATAATATTCTTATTTGGAAGAACATAGGGGTGAGCTACAAAATGAAAAATAACTTAGTAGCTAAGTGAAACTTAATTACAAAAAGATTAAGTTAAACTAGTGTACCTGGTAAATGCCAAACCAGTAGAATATTTTGTTAATAATGGGAGTATATTAAAATAAATCAGGTGTAAAGGATACTTTTTAAAAATAGAAAACATAGGCCCTCCCTGGTGGCGCAGCGGGTTAAAGCACAGCACTGCGAAGCTAAAGTCACTTCCGCATGAGTT